GCATGACAGTGCCTACATTTATCACGTAATGAACTATTCCATATGTATTCCCAGCATGTACATTCACCAGTAATAACATTACATATATGAAATCCTTGTTCTAATATTACATTTTCGGATAATAAAGATTTCATAAGAAAATTGATCATATCATTTAATTTTCGTACAATTTCCTCATCTAGACGCAAAGGCTTATCATCATAAGAAGATACGAATAAATCATCAGATTTTTTTTTAACAAGAAAAGTATTTTGGTCTGATGATATCTTAACCATATTAAGAAGAAAATCTAATCTTCCTTGATTTAATCTTCGAAGTTTATCACAACATATCATATCATCTTTAGTTTGCTATAAATAATTTAAAATAAATTAATTTAATAATATTATTTAAAAATGATAACGAAAAAATTCTTACCTGTTCAATCGTTTGAGTATTGAATAAAGTAACTAAACCAGATTCAAACTTATTTAAATCTTCATGACTTACAATAGTTTCACTTTGAAATTTTATTCCATACATTCGTTCAACAAATGTCAATGGTGTTTGTTTACCACTATATACTGCTTCAATTGTCCTATTGATCCGTTCTGTAAAATTGTTCGTAGTCCATGGAAATCTGTTTGTAATGTTTTTGGAAATATGACCAGCATCAATAAAACTTAATTTCCACTCCGTGCACATCCAATTTTTAGATAAATCATCTATTAATTTATCTTTTTTAGTTTTTTCCAATTGAAGAGTGTTAATAAATTCGATATATTTCTTAGCCATTTCAATGGCAGTTTCTTCAGTTCGACTACGACCTACAATTTTAAACGCTAATGCTATTGGATATCTAAACAATAAAATAATTAATTAGTTATCAATTTTAATAAAAAAAAATTAATATAATATATAACTTACCTGAATTTTGCAGGTATCTGCCATTTATTTAAATTTTCACTAAAAGTTTTCATAATATGAAACCAACATAAAATTGGTTTATGTGAAGCATTTTGGATAGCAAGTTTAGATGGTCTATGCTTATCAATTAAGATATATGGCTTCCAATTATTGTTTTGACATTCACGAACTCGTTGAAATCCGTTTCCAGATAAAAGATTTTCATAGTACCACTTGTGTTCACAGAACTCGTTATCATATGGGATATTTTTTTTAATAGCGTCAATAGCCAATTTTATAGTATGATGATTTTCCTTATTAAATAGCGCTAATATATATATTTTATTTACAATTTAATAAATTACAATAAATTATATACTAAATAATTTAATATATGTCAAATTTTACTTACCAAATGCAACAGGCAATCCGCAACCAGCACTATTCTCAGTGACAATTGATAATACCGGTGCACGGTCCAAATTTAAATCATATTTACCATCTATTCCGATACAGATTTTACCGTAATCATGAGCATTTTTTAACCAAAACTCATCAGAAATTGTAAGTTGATAATATCGGTCAGGTGAATCAGCTGGTTGATTAATGTCTGCTATTTGATAATATAATATAAAACCTTGAGATTTTAATATATTATTTACTAAACTATCAAGCTGAGTCCTAGGACCAGTATCATCCTTTAATTTCTTATCATCTCTGGCAACAAATTGCCGGAGTTTGTCATTATTACATATTATACGTTGGCTTGCTAATGCATTGTTAATTACTTCTTCTGATGCACCATTAAGTGATGTTAATAATTTCTCTTTTATCCCTTTGGCTGTCCTGTTTTCTGCTCTTCTGCTTAATTCTATCGAATCTCTGACAGAATAAGTTAAATTTATTCTTGAAATTTTAGGAATATTATTATTGTTAAATGTACGATGAGTTCCTTGAATGGTAATTCGCAATGGATTTTCTAATGATAGCCAAGATAACTGACATTCAGAAATAACTCTGACACTACAATGGTGCATATCATTTCCATTTTTCAAATTATTTCTTAAATTATAATTTTCGCAATTTTCATTACATTTTCCAACACTACCTCATAATCTTTGACAGTTGCCTCCATCACCTGAACAATACATAACCCAATACCAACATTGTTGGTTTTTGGCTAATCCTAATTCAATTTGAGAAACCAGATCTCTTCCTAAACTGGTTAAAACTAAAACATCATCAATACGATTTGTTGATTTTACCGTTCCAGTTTTAGTTTTCCATGCTAAGTAATCTATTGCCCCTTGTACACGTTCTACCGTTAAGATTCCAGCTTTAACAAGTTTAGGAGTAACTTGTCTACTTTGATTTTTTAAGCGATAATTTTTTAAAAGATTTGCATTTGATATATACCAT